AAATTAGCCGGGCATGGTGGTGCATGCCTGTAGTCCCAGCTACTCAGGAGGCTGAGGCAGGAGGATCGCTTGAGCCCAGGAGTTTGAGGTTGCTGCGAGCTAGGCTGACGCCAGGGCACTCGAGCCACACTCTGTCTCAAAAAAAAAAACAAAAAAAATCTCTGGGGGACAAGGCCAGCTTCCCCATCATCTGTATTTCTTAATATTAAACAAAGCCTTTCACTAAGCAGCTGATGGGAAAAGGCACATTTCATTTTGATGACTTATTATGAAGATTAAATTGACTTGGCTCTAGATATCAACCCCGCAAATTACTTACTGTGTTTCCTGGCTGGCTTTCCTCCAGTTTGGCAATGGGAACTTTTTCCCTCTCTTCTCCAGGTGCTATCTTGGCAGCTCTTTCCCCATCAGTCATTTCTTTTGTCTCTTTGTCCTTGTTTAGTCCAGCCCCAACTGCTTCCTTTTCCGTGGGTTCGTTACTCTCTGCCTTTTTTCTCTCCTGGGTCTCTTCTGTTTCTAAAACCATCTTGTTTTCCGTGTGCTCCTTGGTAGATGTCTCTCCCAGTCCAGCACACAAGTCTCCTGAAACATCCTTTCCAGAGTCACTCACTGGGATTTGTAGTTTTTCTGGTGATCCAAACTCTGTATTCACTACTTCTGTCCTCTGAGAACTACTGGGAAATTTGCTTGCCATCTTGATGCCATCGCTGCCACTTTTTGGAGCATGGAACCTCATTTCTGAAGTACTAGGTGCTTCTTCACCGTCATCATCTGAGCTCTCAGAACTGGACCCTTCTGCAGTCCTGAGTCCTTCCATGCCCAACCTGTCAGAGCAACAGAAAGGTTTAACACTATTTATAGCTTCTATGTAAAGCAAAGACTTCCAGTTTTTCCAGGAAACAGACTCTTGAAAAAAGTAGGTAGCTTGAGATGGAAAGTAGGTAAATTTCAGAAAAAGACATTCATTCCAGAGGTATAAACAAAAGGAAAAAAATATCAATGAGTTTTCTCCTATATTACATTAATTTCAACTGTTGGAAATTAGATAAAATAATCAACAGTTATAAAGAAAAGAAAATCCTATGCTTTATTCATAATTGCTCAAACCTTGAAACTATGCTAATGTCTATCAAATGGAGAATGGACAAATTGTTTGCAACGATACTCAGCAATAAAAAGGAATGAATCACAGATACATTGCACTACCATGGATGAATCTTTTTTTTTTTTTTTCTGATGTAGGGTCTCGCTGTGTCATCCAGGCTGGAGTACAGTGGCACAATCATAGCCCACTATAACCTTGAACTCCTGGACTCAAGTGATCCTCCTACCTCAGCCTCCTAAGTAGCTGGGACTACAGGTATGCAACACCAAGCTGGGCTAATTTTAATATTTTGTAGAGAAGGTCTCGCTATATTGCCCAGGCTGGCCTTCAACTCCTGGCCTAAAGCAATCCTCCCACCTAGGCTTCCTCAAGTGCTGGGATTATAGGCATGAGCCACCACACCTGCACATGGATGAATCTTAAAAGCATTACGAGGATTATACTACGTGAAAGCCAGACACTAAAGGCTGTATGACATCCTACAAAAGACTAAACCATAGGAACAAACATCACATCTGTGATCAGTAGTTGCCAAGGTCTGGAGGTGGGGGAGGAGAGTTAACTACAAAGGGGCACATGACAACTATTTAGGGTGATTAAAATACTCTATCTCAATTGTGGTGGTGGTTACATGACTGTTTATTATACATTTTTCAAAAGTCATAGAACCAACCAACCAAAAAGGGCAAATTTTACTATATATAAATTATACCTCAATAAACCTGATTTAAAAAAAAAAAGGGTAGTGGCCAGGCGCAGTGGCTCACGCCTATAATCCTAACACTCTGGGAGGCCAAGGCGGG